ATAATCTTTCCTTCCATAGAAAACTCAAACGAATTCAAAAATTAAATTAGAGGAGGGTAATCCATAATCCCTAAAAACAAATCCCACAAAGAGGGATAATCCACTCTCTTTAAGGAAAAGATCACTATTAGAAAATGAGATTTTTTGTTTAAAGGTGGATAGTCTGTAACCTTCGAAATATAATCCACTTACTTCTAAAACAAGACAGAAACAATATGTTAGCATTCTTGTCAAACTATCAAGGACATGAATCTCAAAGAAAGAGAATCCTCAATACACTCTTCTATCATTGAAGAGAACTAGATAGTCATTCAAAAGGTGATGTAATATTAACTAGAATAGCTATTGCCAAAAACAAGAAGACTAGAAAGTCTTGAAACAAGATTAAGTCTAAAAAAGTGTTGACAAGAGTGAAGAAGGCTTCACTCTTGGTTCCATATATACTATCTAACTAAGAGCTACGTGGCAATGTCCTATAGGACCTCCAACATGTGTTGACTTTGCTAGCCACATGTCTTATCTTGCAAGGCAAGTTATCTATGTATGCACCATGTAGTTGGCTTATTCTATAAGCTACTACATGGAAATAACTTGTTCTACAAGCTACCAATACGTGATTAGCTTTTTGGCCAAGTTTCTAACCTATAAATATATCTGAAGTCAAAACTGCATCTATGAAACTTTTAGGAAGCTTTTCTAGAAGACTTTATGAAATTATTTTATATTTACCTACTTCTACTTAATCATATAAGTAACTATTGAGGTAAATGTATATATCCATGACATTCAACCAACTTACGTGGTAGTGTGCCACATGATTGTAGTACCTCATTTCAAATAGAATTACTACTTGAAGCCAAATTGGCAAGTCAGCCAATTTATTGCCTAATACCAAATGAAATTAAAGAGTTGCAAAAGCCATTAGATGAACTCTTGGAAAAAGGCCTCATTTAGAAAAGTACATTGCCGTGGGAGTACTTGCACTCTTTGCATTCAAAAAAGATGGTGGATTTTAACTTTACATTGATTATTAGGGCATCAATAAGCAAACTATCAAGAATGCATATCCACTTTGCCATATAGATGATCTTCTTGACTAACTTCGAGATGCAATTATTTTTAGCAAATTAGACCTTCAAAGTGGTTATTAGAAGATCCTTATTGCCAAAGAAGATAAACAAAAAAAAAAAAAAAAAAAAAAAAAAAAAAATTATATATATGCTATAGACACTTTGAATGGCTTATATTATCTTTTGGCATCACCAATGCTCCAACTTTTTTTATAGGTCACGTGAAAAAATTAATTTTGAGACCTTTTGGATAAGTATGTGGCTGTTTGTATTGATGATATCCAAGTCTTTAATAAAAGCCTTGAAGAGCATAAAAAACACCTATAAAAAATGCTACACCAACTACATGATAATTGCTTCTATTGCAAGCAATCAAAGTATGAATTTTGGAAGGCAAAGATCACCTTTTCGGAGCATGTAGTATCTTTTGAAGGTCTGCACATGGATTAGGACAAGGTAAAAGTAATAGAGGATTGGCCAACCTCCAAAGATGCTTTTGAATTTTACTCATTCTTAGATCTTATTGGATATTATCACTATTTTATTTGACAATTTGTACACATCATTGCCTCACTAACAAGCTTATTGGAGAAAGATGCCCCATTTGAGTGGAAATTGGAACTAAAAAGGGCCTTCAAGGAATTGAACGATGCATTGATTATTGCTCCAATATTGCAACCATATGATTTCAATTTTCTATATATACTTGACATTGATGCTTCTGACTTTACTATTAGCATGGTTCTTCAACAAGACTTTTGTAGGAACCTTCAACTTGTGGCGTATGAATCTTGCAAGCTCAAAAGGGCAAAGTGATCAAGAGCAACTAGCAATTGTACATAAGTCAAAGATGTGAAAATACTATTTATTAAAAAAACTAATGACTATTTGGATTGACCACATATTCCTATTATATGATTTGTATTTAAAAAGTATAAAATCATAACATCATTTTTGGAGAGAACAATTGTAATTTTTGATATTTGGTTTAAATATAAACAAGAGTGACAACACATCGTGCCAAACACCTTATCGTGCAAGCTCGACTTGAAACCTGAAGCAATTGAAAAGGCATAAGTTGCTGATAATTTCTGATATTACATACTGCCTTAAGCTTTTGTCCCACATTTAGGTCTATTTGGTCTTCTATATTTTGTAGCTCAAAGAATTTTATATTAAACTAAAGTACTTTTTACATCGACACCAATCACCACGATTGCTTGTAATTAATAACCAATAGGAATATGAGATAGACAATATTTTGGAGCATTGCTACCTGTGTTGTGGCAGCAAACGTCCTCAACTCTAGTACAAAGTCCTCTGAAAAGGTTATCCCATCTATGATGCAATATAGAAACTTATGCAAAACCTCACTCACTATCAAGAGACTATTTGGAAATCCCATCAAGAGCAAAATGAAGATGTTCCTCATTACTAGAGGAGGATTAGCTATAATAATGCATGGATAGGATATTTGTATTATTTGCACATAAAAATATGTAGATAGAGTCATTTTGGAGAAATTTCTAAAATTAAGGTTAAGATGGTGGTTCATATTGGATCCACCATAGTACCTTCTAAAAAAACTTAAGGCAATTATCATAGTAGGGCTCACTTCTAGAAATCTTCTAAAAAAAGAATTATCTTGGTGGAATCTACTATTAAGAACATTCTAGAAAGTTCCAAGATAGTTGAACAAAGTATACATATGATTGACTAAGGCCGTTTGGGCATTCAGTCAGGTATGGCTTTAGATTCTTTCTTTTAGTAAAGTTTGGTTTTCTTGGTCCATTTTATTTGATTCTCTATAGTCCTATTTGATTCTATTCTCTTCTACTCAATTCTGTCTTTTAGGTTCTATTTTATTTAGTTACTTTCAATTTTATTTTGATATGCTTAATCTTATGTTATGTCAAAATCTTTGTTGTTTTAGATTTGGTATGGTTTTAGACCTTAGAGAATCTAGCCCTATTTCAAATGTAGTTTGTAGAAAAAAATAAAAATTATTGACATTATGTTATCAATAAATCAATAAAAAGATATTAAAGATTTTAACTTATATTTATTTTAATTTTTAATAGAATTTGCATATGTTAAACTTGTCAAAATTTTATATAATATTTACATAATAAGTTTTTTTTAAATTTACTTGTAAGAAATTACACATAAAAGTTTAGATATAATTTGTCACATATTTTGATTAAATTCTAATAAAATAAAGAATAGTGAAATTTTAAAAAATTATTTTTAATTATATTTTTATATAAAAAATCATAAAATATTCAATACCTATAGATAATAATAAAATATCATACATTTAAGATATCATATATTATTATTATTATTATTATTGATTTTTATAACAAGAATATTTCTTCAAAGTATTACTTATATTTTTTGCTTCTATAAACATAAAAAAATTACTTCATTTATTTATTTATTTATTTTTATTTCAAAAAAGTTTTATATATATATATATATATATATATATATATATTAATATTAATATTTGTAATATATTTTTTATTAAGAAATTGAAGGTTTAGAAACAAAGGTTTAGAATTTAGGGTTACAAGAGGATCTAGAGAAAGAGAAGTTTAGGGTGATCTAGTAGTGGAATGATTAAATGCATGTCTAGTTTGATATGTCGCAATGCATTCAGGGAGTGGAACTTGTTGGAGCAGAATTAGGGTTTTGCACAAGGATATGGCAGAACGCGAGAGGAGCGGCTTTAGTAGAAGGGCAGCAGTGAGCGCTTTTACGATCTTAGAAACGGTGATTCTGTGTATGAAACTGATGCACCTCCTTGACGTTGAATTTTGCCGGGTGCCAGTGTAATACCCAGTTGCATTCCTCCTCTTTTGGAATCTGTGGGATCAAGACATGGTGTAAAAATGCAGGATCTCTTTATTCGAATTCTGCGGGACTGCCAGTTTGAAGAGGATGATTTGCTGCCGAGCAATCTGCAGAGTGTGTGATATGCTGTATTGTCTACTGAACTTCTTCAGACTTGGATTCAATCATTTCTCAAACTTCCATGGAGGTGGATGCTGTTTTTGTATGTTAGAAGGGAGTGAGCTGTGCCGAAGAAAGGTGGGTTGTGCTTTTCTCATGTTGCATCGGCCTTGCCAGTTGTATCTCACAACTTTCTAAAACTGAAAAGGTTGTCAAAGTTCTCGAAATCAGTGTCGGGACATAATCGCAGGTCAAGTCATCTTGGGTTCTACATCCCCCCCCCCCCCCCCCCTTTGTTTGTTCTACCAAATCATTCGACCTGGATCTGAACATGGCTCTTGAAGAGCTGCCTGAAGATAGCCTTCTGATCCGACGCACATAATCGTCAATTACTGACAATGCATGTTTTCTGCGGCTGTAACGCCAAATTTCCTTCGGCTCGCTTGTGCATTGGCTGAGAATCAGTTCTCGTCCACAGCCCGGAGTGCCCCTCAGCACCTGAGAACTGAGTATGGAAGTGCTATCAGAGAGGCAATTTGAACCCAAGTGCATTAGAGTCACTTGATTTTCCTTCACGAACATCACGCTACTAACTGCGGATGCGTACAAACGTTTGGATGCAGTTGTGAGACAATCTGATACAGAGCCATGTGACAGATCACGTGAATCTCAAATGACAGTGCCGTTTACTGCTCTGTAACCTCAGGCCTTCCAATTCTACACACATTGAATTCGTACTGGTAAACGTCATCAACACGTACTTCTGCTCTGGATAAGATTTTGGAATACACTACAATTGTGCTTGTACAACTTGCAACACATACTTTACTCGCTTGCCAACTACACGAGCATCCGCTTCGTTAACTGCTGCCGAGAATTCCACAGTACATTTTGCTCCACAATGTCAGCATTGCGTCACAGGTGGGAATTTCAGGAGCGAGTGAAATGCAACCTAGCCTTTGAATTTCTGTCATCAACTACACGAGCTTCGCGGAATGCGAGACTGTCGGAGCTTGAGCTGATTAGGAAATTCCGATGACAGTGTCGTTCGCGGCGCGCACCAATCGTGCTCGTGGAATCATCGCTCATCCGAAGAGGGGCTGGATTCAGGCTGCCTTTACCAAAATCCTTGTGCGCAGAAAGCTGCGGTTTGGAATGATCGATCATGCAGGCGCATGGAAAGCGGATATGCGTGAAACACATCCCATACGCCTCGCGCGTCCAGATGGAAAACCCTAAGCCCTACTGCATCAGCTCTTAAGATGTCACGTAGTCCAACAAGTATGATGATCGCCACCGACACCCAAAGTAGCACTAGACTAGAGGTGGCCGGGAACGACAACCTATCAGTTGCGAATTCAATCAAACGACTTGAGCATCTTGGGAAACTCCAAAACCCTGCAGGGCCCCACCACAAAGATCCAAAACGGCACCTCCATTGGCCGCCCAAATCCGGGCCCACATCGGCGCAAAATATCGCATCGACCCACATGACTCAACCACGAGGTGGAGAGCTTTAATTCGATCAAGCAGCGTGAGATACTCTCTACAGGCCACTTGTCGAAAAAATTGATTTGTATTGCGACATCCCCGCCAAATATCGTGGAGTGCGGGGTCTAATCTTCCAGCCTTGCCTTCCTCGACTCCTGCCCCGCTTTGCATGCTCCTCGCCTCTATGGGACCATGACACACAGTTGTTCCTTTTCTTGCTGGAACTTCCGAGACTGATTTATTATTATTATTATTTGCTTGCTTGCTTGCTTGGTAAGCCTGCCCCTGCTCCATCTGTCGCGCGCACGAGCCACAGCCACTGCAAAGATATTAGCCTCTAATCCATGTTCGATGCCCGTGTTTTCTTCTTGGCTGGAGCTGCAGTAAGTAAAGAGAGCAATTAGCGTCGGGGCGAGCATGTATTTTCTTGCAGATAGTAGTGGTATAGTTTCTCTTGAGGTCAGTCCTATAAGATAGTGTTTCAATGCGAATCACGGAGAAGTGTGGTAGTATTTTTACACATGCTACCCATTTTTAGAGTTTTAAATACTGATTTTTGTTTTGGTGAGAGGTAACTGAGGTTTTTGTTTCTTCCATCTCATGAAAATAGTATTTAGTAGCTCATTGTCTGTTGGCATTCGCGTGTTTTGTGGGCTTAGAACTATTGCAGGTACGGAGGGATTTGGTGCGTGTGGGGTTTAGAGGGCGAATCGAAGCAGTGGGAGGAGAAGAAGGGAATGAAACAAAGAGGACAGGATACCCCACACATAATATTGGAGTTGCAATGGGATATGTAGGCGGGGAAAATGCAGCGGCAGGAGAATGCAGTGTGCGGATGTGGGGGTATTTGCCGGCCGCGTCACCTCAGCGAACGCCGCTGTTGCAGCCCACACCGGTGCCAGTATCAGTGCTGAACGATCCGCTCAAGACAGTCTGCAATGGCGGATGTGGCTTTGGAATAGCCATCTCTGGTATGCAGCCTGACCATACCGTGTGTTCTCCGTCGACTGATGATGCAGGAAATCCTCCCAACCAACCTGTTTCATGGAATTTATTTATGTTGCAACATTGTAACCCCACCATGCAACATGCCATGAAGGATCAATCCCACAGGCTGAGCACATTGTCAGACGGTCGATTGGATCAAGACTTTTTTGAATGGATGAGAATTCAAGTGCATGTGGTGTAGGCTTCGGACAACGTGTATCCTGCAATTATTCTAGTGTTGAAAACGAAAGGGAAACACTGAGATGTTTGCATACCTTAAATACTCGAGAGTATGCTGTTGTACGCTACAAATGCTTTTCAGATCATTGGACTTTTGTAATACCAATTCGAGAATATGAGAATCAAAGCTGTGTCAAGGTTAACACGCTGATTGAGCAGCACCCTCAGAATTGACTGACGACTTCCAGAAAAACAGATTGAAAGTACCTGTCGATGGCTCTGATGCCAAATCTCAAAATATTTGACGCGTGCAAGGTCTTGCAAGAAATTTTCAGAGAAATTTTCAGAAAGTTCTTACCCTTCAGACGAAAGCGAAATAAGAATGTTTGTCTTGGTCAACACGAGGAAGGCACCAGTATGAGTCAGATGTGTGAAGGTAACAGTTGGTACATATTGACTTGACGATACCCTTCCAGCAGCAAAAGTTGCAGTATTTGACAAAATACTGTGTAGAGTAAGCGTATCGTTGTTTCGTTTGTCGATCCATCTGAATCAACAAGACCAACCGAGGTGCACATGGATTGGCGAAAGCTAAATCTATTAGCAACGTTAAACTTTGTATGTGTAGGTGTGGACTAGGGGGGGGGGGGGGGGGGGGGGGGAGGAGGGAGGGGGTTCAGTAACGATAATTGCTTCTCATAAATTCATAGTTGTATAAAAATGTTTGCCATGTGTGGGTGCTCTATGCAGAATCTGGTAACCTTAATACATGGGGTTCTACTACAGACCATGGACATTGCTACTTAATCTCTGGCAAACAACAGGTAAGAGAATGATATATGAAGGTTATGCATGAGGTGGGTATTGTTCTCTTCTTTAGAGCATGGAAGGTTGAATATTCATCACGGTGCAAGTCGGCTGATGGTGCGGACCCTCACATGGAGCTCTGCAGCTGCCTGGAGTTCTAGGAATAGTAAAGGAAACATCCGAGCAACGCTTTGCATCACTCACCAGTGAGAGAATAGAATGTGGCTTGATCATACCTCTACAATTGCTCTGGTTATGGGTTGGTATGACGCGGGTAACAAAACCATGTCAGCAGGCTCATTCTCGGTGTTCGATTTTGCGTTCAAGCTAGCTCTGTAGCTGTTAATCACGCAAAAAAGGCACTGAACAACTTAAGAAATTTAGATCATTGCAAAGTGAAATCATAAGGGTAAAGCTTGTGGTACAATCCAATATGTGAATCACTCGTCTTCGGTTAATGTGACGTCTTTGCTGGTTGTGAAAGAGAACTCATTGGATACACGGAAAAAAAATCCGCTGGCATTAGCCCTATGCATGATCTGAAGAGAGTATAGTAGGAGATGGCTCACGTTGGGGGTGTTTCGTGCCTGCCCAGGAAGTTCCCGAGCTGTATCCTTTGCCAACAGACTCGCCCATCGTTCACGCTGCCGGAGGCTGGGCACATTGTGCAGCTGTTACAGGTGATTAGTTGTCTACTTCACCTTTTAACCATACCATCTTTTTCATGTTTTTCTTACACTATTCCAGTGCCTCGTCTGAAGAATAGTATTAAGTTTGGCTCGCTTTCTTTTCATCAAATTATTTTTTGGGTCGTTTGGTTATGTGGGCACATGCGAGTTAATAATTTTGATTTAGATTAGGTGCTTTTGAGGAAGCAATCCTAAAAGTTTTTTCTGATCAGAATTATATGCTACTGTTAAGGATTACATTCGCTTCTCCATCCAGGTATCGGTTTAGCAAAAAGAAAACTACTGTCTGGAGAGCGGATATCATAACTGTTGTGAAGAATGGAAACAGGCGGCATTATGAGCGCCTATTATTATCCTTCTATTTCTTTTTGTAAGCGTCACTTCCTCCGTTCTTTATCAAGAGAGAACTCGTTATTTCAATTCGTGGAGATTGAATGATTCTCTCAACAATGGAGGAAGCTAGAAACTTTTGTTGATTTGTTTTTAACGTAGTTCATTCTCTGCTGTTTCAATCGGAATGGCAGCAGGACTGATCTATCTAGTCACCTTGTCCTGGCACAGGTTTTCAGTTTGTTCTCTTCTAGCATGTTTCGGGTTCTTCGATTTCCAATTAGCGCATTATATTCATTCTTGCTTTGGAAATATCTCGTCAGTTGTAAAGCAATATTGAACTTAGACTTAGGTTAAAAGCTAGCCCGACGTTCGATACGCACAAGCCTCTTTCAGAGTACACCTTCCATAGTTTCCACAGAACCTGTAGAATCCGCTGTGCGACACTGCGTAGATTCTCACATTTATTTCGGTCCCTGAGTAATTTCTTCACACCTCTAAGTGGAATCAGTTCAGAAATGTAGGCCTTTTAAGTTCTCACCTCTTTTTCTTATCATAAAATTGGCTTGCAAAGCTCGAAAAGAATAAACCATTTGAGTTCCAGATAAATTGGCGGAGTATTTTCTGTCTAGTTTACTCTCAGTTGTAGGATTCATTGCTTCTTGACGTTTCGTAAATCTCAAGAACCAACTTTTCAATTTCCTTGGTAATCAATTTCGTTTATTCTAAAACATGTGGGAGATTTTGTCTTCGCAAGTCTCTGTTGATGATACGAGTCGGCTGATGCCAAGAGTGCAGCTCTGGAGCATTTTCTGCAATCAGCTCATCTTATGACCTCGTAACCACAATGGGTGAAGTTGTTACGTTTGGATACGTTTAGATGATGGATTATTACGAATTTTATGCGGAAGTCATGGAGTCGGAATGTGCATAACATTCTGGAAGTAGAAGTCTAATTGCTCACCTGTGATGTAAGTTAAGACACTCTACCTAAATAACATTATTCAACAAGTGCAAAGAAAGACGATACTGGTTGTCAAGTTGTCACGGCAGTAGAGATTACCTTCAGTCCACAAGCACAAAATAAAAAATCTACTAATCAATATATACTGAATCACCTTAGCCAAGTTACGTGAAATCTAGCACTGTTTTTCGTGACTCAAGTGACAACATGACGACGTTATAGAGATCGTCGTCTTTTCATCTTTTGGTTTGTCAACGTATGACTTTGGATGCCGGTGCAATTCTTTAGACTCCCAACTATTAACCTGATTCTATACTAACAGACTAAACGTCTGAACGCACTTGCTGTGCTGTGAAAGTCTCTAGCTTCAATCAGCTGTCATTCGACTGTTGATCAGTTTAATCAGAAAGCGCAGGTAAGATTCACGTGCGCATGCATCGTAGACTCCTCTGAGCCTATGCTTTCCTACAATTCTTAAACTAGTGAATTTGGGAGGATCACCGGCAGCAGTTATCATGCCATTTGAATTCGCTCATTATCTATGAGGTTTGACATTATGCTTAACATAATTCTACTGACTTTGGTATTCTTGATAAACTACTGTGTAGTCGATTTAATACTTCACCTTCACAGTCCCAAATATTCGGGTGTAGGTATTGTCATTACGTATGAGAAATGCCGCGAATGTGTGTCCACAAAGTGACTGGAGTAACTGATTCATGAATTTACTTAACTTTGAACATGTAACTTGTGGAGCTTTTAAATATTTGGGACTATTCTTTCAACCATGTAGATCATTTATTTGGTGGTCACAGTAATATAAACACTGTGAAGATTCATGAAATCAATTCTGTCTGTAATGTCGACGATTGTCGTTGATCAGGTGTAAAATCGATGCCTTTTTCTTGGCCTGCTAAAATTAGAACCCTGAACCACATTTGACTCTTTAATCTTTTATCTTTTCTACTGTTTTAACTTCCTTACTAAGTCGAAGCATCACGACGTGAGAGCGTTGAGAAGTGGTTGCAGTACCTGCAGGTATCAGGACATGGAACACTTCGTGATCTGGAATGTGTTTTCTAGGGTTAAAAGTTTTGCGTATGTGGTGGTAGCATGCAACCTTTATTTCATGGTCTAATAGACGTGAATGCAGTAATTTTATTATCATGATGTGACCAGGTCCACTCAGTTAGTAACTGGGTTGAGTATCAAAAACCAATTTTGTTGTGCACAAGCACTTACGGTATTTCTGTTTTCGTCTGTTGCTACTAGAGACACGTCCGACTCTCTCATGCCTGGAATTATCTTTCCATTTTCTCCGACAGTGCGCTGATTACCCTTTGACTTCCATCATGCATGTACACTGCGTAGTTTCAAGGTTAAGGTGTTCATGAAAAATTTGGCCGCCTGGTAGCCAATCTTAACCATAGTTGTACGGTTTTTCCCAAAAATCAGAGCTATGAAGAAATCAGTGTGTTTTGTCAGCGTTGCCTCGAGTTTTAATTTTCGTAATTAATTGACCAAAATAGGCTGCGGTATGCTCGCAGGAGACGGGGAGGTTTACACTTGGGGTTGGAGTGAATGTGTTTCCAGCTTAAAGCTCAACATTGCGGATGACAGCGCCGAACCGCAGAGGAATGACTTATCCCCAGATGTTCCAATAACGACCTCGCAGTCACCTTTACGACTTACTGGGGGATTGCTGGGAGGCACCAAACCTACTGGCAAGCAAACTCTTCGAAACTTGGCGTGCAAAACTACTGGAAGCGACGGTGCAGAAGAAGTAATAAAGAGAAGAAAGGTTATAACAAACAGTGCTGAAGGACAATCGCCTGAAGCATCCGAAGAGAATGCTTTTGCTCCACCTTGTTTGGTAAAACTGGATCCTGGCATCAGAATCAGTTCAGTTGCTGCAGGAGGACGCCACACATTGGCTCTGTCAGGTGTGCGTTGTATTTCGAGAATCATTCCCACTTCCTCAACAGTAGGTTTTGTTTTAAGTCTAGAATATTAAGTTCGTTCTCAATATCTAAGTAGGAACATAAGCAGCTATTTTAATCAGAGAATTTAACGTCCGGTATTCCTCCCTTCTAGTTTTCTAGGAAATCATCTGTTTGAATTTTTTGTAATATTAAATTCTGATTTAAGTTTCTAATTTCATTATTATATAAATTAGACAATACTAATCACATGGAAACAGATGTAGGTCAAGTTTGGGGATGGGGTTATGGAGGTGAGGGCCAACTTGGATTAGGCTCCTGCATCAGGATAGTGTCATTTCCACAGCACATACCTTGCTTCAATATGACGGACACTGGTAATGCTAGAAGTGGAGTTCCTATTCCTGGGAGCTACATAAAAGCAATTGCATGTGGAGGCCGTCACAGTGCTGTCATCACAGGTACACATAGAAAAGGAATTACACAGCTCCCTTCTGTACCATTCTCATCTTGTTGTATTAAATGCTTTTTCTAAAGTAATGGCCCATCTAACACTGAAAGTAAAGAACACAATTCAATGTCAATAAATGACCCATGTATTAACTCAGGAACTCTATCAGTGAAGAAGAATGATGCCCAACTGTCCTTCTGCTACAATGTGTCCTTTGTTAAAAGAAAAAAAACAAATATACTTAACATGGTGTTTTCCACAGTTAGTACAGTTTCAGCTATTCAACAGCCTGATTGGGATGTTGTGACTAGGTTCAGATCACATGTATGCTGTCTACTTGTCCACACAAATAATACTCACAGTGCAGAACTTGGTGAATTTGGGTATGGTTTTGTTGTACATTTGTTCATTGCACAACAGTTTACTTCAACAGTTGCAACCTTTGTATTCATTACCATTAGTTATCAATTTAAGTCATTCACTCATTCCCTGTTGCTACATTATTTTTAACATACCTGTAACAGTGAACATTGTTTAATTTCCTGAAACAGATACTGGAGCAGTGTTGACATTTGGATGGGGTCTCTATGGCCAGGTTTACATGCACATCCTATGGTTTTGTTGTACATTTGTTCATTACTTTTGTGTTGTTTCTGAGAAGCTCATGTATTGACTATTCCCTTGTCATTAATGATACGATGGTTACTTTTTTGATGTGCAGCTATTTGAAACTTATCCCACCAAACGGGTGATTTGTATATGCAACCACCTAGAATTGAAGATTCTTAGCTGCCTTTGTCATCCAAATTAAATTCAACAAATGATGTAAACATCTCACCAACACACTCATAATCACCCTTCTCAAAACTAAAAATTGAAATGTTGTGCCCTTGTTGTTTTGGCAGATTGGCCAAGGTAGTACTGAAGATGAGCTGAGCCCTAGTCATGTGTCAACACTGCAAGGACTGAGCATTGTAGGCATAGCAGCAGGCTTGTGGCACACACTCTGTATCACTAATACTGGAGATGTCTATTCTTTTGGTGGAAACCAATTTGGTCAACTTGGTGTGGGTGGGAATAATGCTGAGGTTACCTCTTTTTTTCCTTGAAATCCTTGAGTAATTGTTCCAAATCATCTTTCTTTTTTTGATGGTTTTGGGTGCTTACTAATGTCATTCATTGTTAGGTGCTTGCATTTGATTGTTGCTTTCTTAACTTAAAACACACACAATTTGTTTTTCTGTTTGGTTAATTGTGAGCCCATTACACTAACACAGGTTATGCATTGTTCCAGTTGTCTCCAAGATTGATTGATGCACCACTTTTGGGAGATGAATTGTCTGTGGCTGTTGCCTGTGGGGCACGCCACAGTGTTGTGCTAACAGGTGTTCACACAGAAACTTTTTATTTATTAAAAAAACTGAAGAAATTACAGAAATTTCTTTGCTTCAATGAACAATTCAATTGTCTGGCCTTGGCTGTGGGATAGGCATGCAGATCAAACATCCTACCTTTTCATATCCCTCTCACTATCTCTCTGTCTCTCAACTCTAGTTTTTATTTGTTTATTTTTCACAGTAATTAAATCAAAATCTTGACAATGTTGGGTGCATTACTAGGTCAATTGAGGTGCTTTGTGTGCCCTTAATTTAGTATTACTTCCATCTCACTGATGTTGTTTGTTTTCCAGGATCAGGAAAAATCTTTGCATGGGGTTGGAACAAATATGGCCAAGTATCTTTCAGCTTTGCCTTCATGCTTTATGTCCCTTTACACACTGTTTAACTTGAAATACAGTTGTTTAATGTTAAATATAGAAAGATCAACTTGAAAATGTGTTTGAACATAGACATATCAAAGCCTTGGCTTTCCACTGGTTTACAGAATACAGGACAAATGATGCACTGACACAATCAGATGGTGGTTTCTTTGTGTGTGTGTGTGTATGTGTGTGTGCAGTTGGGTTTGGGTGACTGCAACAATAGAGATTTGCCAATGCAAGTAACAATGAATGATGGTGGGCGTGCAGCTAGCATTGCCTGTGGATGGTGGCACACACTTGCTTCTGTCCGTACCAAGTGAATTCAAAGGCAACAAAGAATGGAAATTTTCTCATTCAATTTGGCTCTCTTGTGCTTGATTTCCTTGAAACTTTGCTCAGGGTTGGAGGTTAAGTCTTTTATTTTCATTTTTCATACTAGCTAGTTTTAACACCTCTCTCTTTCATGTTGAGTTGCTCAAAGGGAACACATGAGAATTGGATCCTTGGAAGCAATACAGAGGTTTTTTTTGAGTCTTTAGTAACATTCAATAGAAGCATGTGTGTGCATATATTCATCTTACAAGTAATAGCAGGTTTTGGTCCTAGTTGGGTGGGGGGTTTGAACTGTTAAAATATGTTGTTTTTTGTCTTTTCTATGTAGCAAGAAGGGAACCACAATCCAGAGCTGAACACAGTAATGCTATTTGTTTTACCATGTTCTAGACTATTACCTTCTTCAATAATTTCTTCAATAGCACTACCTACACAGAACTCTGAATTCTCCCCTTGTTGAAATATGTGTGGGTATCTTAGCACGTTTTTCATTTAAAATCTTCTTTTGAATTTCTTGTCGTGAACAATGACCCCCATTTCAACTCACTTTTTTCAAAAAAATAGCTTGTGGCATTAGGTGACAGAATGTGCTATCATTCTGTTGTATTTGCAGAGGTTTAAGACCAAACTGCAGAATTGTACATTTAGATGGAAAGAAATGAAATAAATACTGATATGTTTATGTGTACTTTGAAGTTTGCATGTGCTCCCAAATGAAGTCACTTATGGAACTTTTTGTAAACTTAAATGCATAATAGAAAGGAAAAAAACCACTATGACAACCAAAAATATAAGTGATCCATGAATACTAGACACACTGCATTTTGTTATATTGAATTGTTGTGTTTGTTCCTCATTCAAAAGTTGGGTCTCATTGTGTTCAGCCACACTCACTTATTAAACATGATTATAGTCACCGCAGAACCGAGTTGTGAATTTTTCAACCAAATTTTTCATGTCTTTCTTTTTTAAGTTTAGGGTATACACGCTTCCGAAACCGTAAGCGTTACCAACGCCTTGTGTCTGCAGATTGCATTTGCAGATGTCCCTTATTGCTTTTGGATCTCACTATTTGCAGTTTGGAATCGAATGAGGATTTCAGGATGTGTCGACAATTGTCTCAGATGTGGCAACTGTAGAGATCAATTTTTTTTAATCTGTCTTCAGTGTGGAGATGGGGTTGCTGTGAAGGACAGTAACCGCTGGGTTTTTGCGAATGGAGAATCGCTGAATTGCAGTTGCTGCAGATGGGAAGAGCTTGAAGAAGTCGCGACAAGTAGCGTCTCGACGCTGGGCTAAAGCTGGCGGGAAAGTATGGTCTGCACAATAAGCGTGAGTTCTGGAGGGTGCTATGTGCTCTAAGCCGTATCTGCAACAATGCCTGTGTGTTGCGCATTCTCGATGAGAAGAATACTTGGCGTATCTTTGAGGGGAAGTCGCTCCTTCGACGCATGAGCCGTTGTAGGCCATAGGATGAGAGCCTTTGCAAGCTCGATTAATTGCTCGCTGTCATCGTGGAGAATCTCCTGGAGCAACAATCTCTTCAGATCCTTGTGTTTAAGTCTGGCATGGGCAAGTCTATCCACCACGCTTGTATTGATCAAGCAGCGGCATATCAGGTCAGTGCGATATTTGGGCAAGTATTTCTCGGTTTGCTGTAGTTGCCGCCGCATCCGGCAATCCTAGTTCAACTTTTCAGTCGTTTTATCAGTGAATGAATCTGTAGAATCAACAATCGTGAGATGTAATGAGGGCTTTTGAGTGTGGAGGTTAGCATTATAGTTGATGAAAGCTTGAGAACAAAGATCCTTCAATGTAGGACAGTGATATGAACCAGGACTGAACTCATTGCAAACTCCCCCAGTTAATTTTTTTTGCAATTCCACCGTAGTTATTGCTACGGATTCACCTCAGGCAGGTATTTGATCTATCATTTCTGCAAACGCTGGTTTATCATCTTTCAACATTCCAATTTATATTTAACAGGATTGGCAAGAAAATTGTTGACGATCAAACAGCGAAAAAGCACATTGATTTTGCCCTCTGTAGCCCATTTGGTGGTGGCAAACCTGGACGAGTAAAGCGAAAGAACACGAAGTCCCCATCAAAGAAAGCCTCAGGTGGTGACGATGAGCAGGCCATGAAAATTCTCTCCCCGAGGAATTCTTCATACTGGTGAGGATTTTCATTGGTAGTTTTGAGATCCAAAACCAGTGTTAACATGTGTATAAGGCCTTCGCATGAAATGTCTCTGATCCTTCCTATTCATGATTTAGAGTAATTATCTCAAGTGGGTCCTTTTGTACAGCTTGTGATCGTCCTTTGACTTCTTTAACTTCTTGGAATTAATGTCTTGATTCCATGCCTACTGTTACATATTCGCTGCATTCCTCCTTTCATGAAAAATGTGCTGATTATAGAGCGAAGAGTCGATGCTTCTTTCGTTTGTGTGCGAGTACCACATGATTTGTACCACATGATTCTTTTAGCCATTGAGATGTCTGAATACCTTGCATCTCAACCGATTACTTTCGACTGACCTCTTCCTCTCTCTTCTCGCTCATCTTTGGACTTTTTCTTTTTTTTATGTTTCTTTTAATCAAGTGTTGTGAAGATAGTCTTTCAGTATTACTCCTTTTAAGTATTGTTCACTTTGTGTGTTTTCACCAGAACTTGCACTAGCCTTAAATGGAGAAAATGTGCCATTTTGAATATTTGATCATATCTATATCCTGTGGTGCAAGTCTTTTATTATAGCTAGTGATTAAAACTATAAGAAATTCGTTAATTATGATTCTGAAGAAAACTCTTGAATGTCTCACAACAATGCAGAATCCGTCCATTTGAAGACATGATTTATGCCTTCTGGCTGTAAGAGAGAAATAGAGAGTTTCTCTTTTCACATTCTTCTTGAGTGGTGACCTCACTTACTGGGACTAAGAAACCTGTAAAAGTTATGAATCTTTCTTAACATGTCTCAATAGCAGACTTTTAATGATATCTAGTATTAAAAATATTATATCACAGTAGGAGATATGAGACATGTTTGAAAATTGTGGGAGTAACTTTTTTTGTTGCCTAAGTATTGAGTTGGATGTGTGATTAAATTATATTTTTACATTCATTACGTATTAGACAAATTTTAACATTTCTTTCATTTAAACAATGTAGTAAAAGAATTCTTAATTTCATCTTTGACGTATCAAAATCGTTAGAAAATCATATGGTTGTTTAATCTTCATTTAGAGGTCTATTGGAATTCTAAGTTGAAAACTACCATAGAAGCATCCCATACTGTACAAGTCTTTTGGTTCTTCAAAAAAACTTACAAGGTTTTCTTGTTAGTTAGAATGTATAAAATTAAGTCTTTACCAATTCATAGACTTGTCAATGTTTATTTTGTACTCTATTCTAGCTTTACTGTGTTTTAGTTTCTTATTATTTGTCAATAGATATTATAATTTTTCATTGTTGTGAATATATTAATATATTTTTAACCTTTATAACCTATCAATTAACATACATATATTATAGTATTTTGCAATTCTATTGAAAAAATATACTTAAAGGTTTCATTATTTGAAATAGTAATATCAAGATTTTTTTTATATAAGTAACCAAGCATAGATTATCTTTATTTGCAATAATTTTTATAGGTTATTTAATAATATTATGCAAAAAAAAAAAAACAAAACAAAACAAAACAAAAATTTTATTAAAAAAATACTAAAAATTTTATATTAATATTTCAGTATAATTTTAATGTAGCGTGCTTTATGATCTATCTTAAATTAAGATTATAGAATTTACAAAACCAAGACAATCAAGTAGATCGTTTTTTTTAAGTCCTTAGAATTGAGTATGTAATATATTTATAATTATTTTATTTGAATATCAAATGTCTTTGCTATAATTTATTTAATAGCTAATTAAATAATATTTGGTAATTTTAATTTTTTATATTAATATTTCAAATCTATCAAATTTTCCTTGTTATATAATCTTTGGTTTTGAAAAAAACTATATATATATATATATATATATTCATTCACAAATACATATAATGTAATATTAAAGTGGTATATATTTGTAGTGGTAAAGATAATTAATATTTTACTAATATAATTTAAAGTATAAATATTTTATTTTGACTTAACCAAAATAATAATGATTTATAAGCCTCCTTGTAAAGAAATTTTAAGCATCAAATTAATAGCATGTAAGTAGAACTACATTGATGGCTAAGTGAATTAATAATATTACCTACAAGCCACTTTTTTTTTTGATTTTGTTTGTTTGTTTGTTTGTTTGTTTTTTTTTTTTTTCTAAATTACTCAAATAATTACTAACAGACTATAATATATTTTTATTTTAAAAAATCAGTTATAATTTTTTTGTCTTGCTTCTTTTTATAAGAGAACAGGCAATAGTTATTTGAATTAAAAAAATATATATGTACTTTTTATGCAATCATTTTTGTAAATAGAAATGATATAGCAAGTAGAAGTAATATATAGTAAATAACTATTGACTTGTAGCTTGTAGGAAAAGAATATAAATAATATCACAATTAACTTCCAAATTAATATTGCATCATTTGCCATATGCAAGATTGTTATCTATTATCTTATGCATACTTTTAATTCAATACTAAGGTTTAAATAGTTAGTTTTTTTTTATATATTTATAACATAATTTAATTTAGATTAAAAAAATAAAATTTTATTCAGAAAAAAAATATTCATCACTTAAATCTAAATATTATCACCAAATATTAGGATAGAAATTTCTTGGATCTGGTCAAATGAATAAATTATTTTAATTTTCATGTTTAAATTTATTAAATAATAATAAACGATTTCTATTTTTGTTATCAATAAATTCAATAATTATTTCATACGATAATATGTGAAAATTTATTATTAGGATTAATATCTCAATAAATCTTCTATCAAAAAATATTATGCTATAACTTTTTTAGAAATTTATTGACAATTTAATTATAAAAAAAATCATAAGAACTCTGAAATAGTACATTAGAATAAGCAATCATTACCTTTTATAATTTTTTTGGCTCTACAAAGAAGTACAAATGGACTCAAGTGAAACAATTTCAACCAACACTTGATCATATCTTTGCATGAAAATCTAGTGGTTGTCTACTATATGCTTTTAATATTGTGTTTCTTTAAAGTTGAACTAATATATATATTATTTTTTATTCAATTTATAATCAAATATAATGATGGATTTTTTTATTAATTAATTTATATTTTAAAGGTTTTAAATAGTCATAGAATTTAAATATATTCAACAAGAATTTATTATATATATGCTACTATGAATTTAAAATTAGTAATTCAAACTTTTTAAATTAATACAAATTTTTTTCATATACGAACCAAGAAACATAAAAGTAAATCATTGTATAAGATAATAGATAACAATCTATTATCTATAGATAAACAATATTAGAAGTTTTTTATATTTTTAGTATAAAACCAGCTATCATGTTTTAAAAGAGCAAACTATTGGTAACCAATACATTATTGAAAAAAAAAATTGTTCCAAAAGTACGTGCTCTATAAAGTACATTAGTTTATTATTTATTGTGGACTCAATGGGGTAATTCATATTTTCATTTTGAAAGAAAATCAATTATTTGTGTTTATTAGGTATTGATACAATTACATACAGACAGACATACATACATACATACATACAAACAAAAAAATTCTGAATTTATTAACATAGTATTGTGACATTGTATATAAAATTCTATATATGTCTTAATAATATAATATATGTAAATAAATATATATATATATATATATATATATATGTATACATACAAGGGCAGGGCAGTCATTCCAGTACCTTTGTTGAGCCACGTCCTCATCACCATCATCCATCAGGTCTATCCACCCCATCCATCCCTTGTTTCTATTCATTCGTCCATATGTTCATTCTTTCATCCATCCTTTTATCCATCCATCCGGACCAATCAGCACAGTGCGTGGAGCAAGCCCTGTTGCAACAGGCCCCTCCACATGAGTGGATTCAATGCGGTCGGTCGCCCTCTCTATACCCGCGCACAGACCCCTCCTCCTCTGGGCGGGCTGGCTGACACATTGGCCACCCATGACCGAATAAAGGAAATCCTGTACACGCGGGTGAGGGGCAGAGCTCGAGGAGCCAGGACGGACGGACGGACTGACCCCCCCCCCCCCCGTTTCCCGTTCCTCGCCCTTCCTCTTTGCAACAACAACAACGCTGTTCGAGCTTCTGGTGCTGATGTTGTTGTTTCCATCACCATCACCGCTATGTCCCTTCTGTTGAACGGATGCGACTTATGTCCTCAGCCGGAATATTATTCCCCCTTTAGCAGCAGCCTTCTCAACGAGAGTCTCCGCGACGTACGTGATCAAGCATACAGGTGATAGGGACGCAAGAGCTAGCGACAGAGAGTGAGTGGTCGAAAGCGAGATCGACCTTTTTTTCTCTGTTAGTGGTGTCGCAAGTGGTGAAGTTTGGAGTACTGAGTTTTTTATTTTTAAAATGTATATTTTAGACTTCCATGTGAGAAGAGTTGCGTTTAGAGTGCTGTTAAACGGACGCACAGTGTTTGAGTTCTCTGGGTGAACGGATGGATGGCGAAAGAGGGAGGCGTGAGCTTGGGGTTGCGCGTTTCGGTTAAGCGGTTTTGTGAGGTAGTTTAGAGGTCATGATTGCTGGTGTATCTGGTCTCTTGCTCATTAATTTGGTTGTTCCTGGTTTGCGTTGGGGTTCGATTGTTGGTTTTCGAGGATAATTGTTCTTAGCAATATCGTGTTTGAGATTAATGAGCAGATTTATCCTGGGGGTGTGTCTCACTATGGAGTATACCGCGAAGAATCAACCCTATGGTTTTCTTATTGTACAACGTTCAAGTCAATGAAGGCTATGCTGGGCGAGGTGCGAGTTTAAGAGTATAGTTTGGGCTCCTGACATAGAGTGTTCTCAAATAATTTTTAGACTTGAATTATTTTGGAAAGTGTCGAGCTTTGTGTAGTCCGTTGAGAGTCTACAATTGGACAAGTCTAGTTTGTTCCACAGTAAATTAAGTACCACAAGGGCAGCGTTTGTGTTGCTATTCTGTATGTGAGTTAGTGCGATTCATGCATTGTAATCTGCAAAGAAGGAGAAGACTCCCAATGGGGTGTTCATGCCTACTCAGGAAGTTCCGCAGGCGTATCCAAATGTTAACGTACTCGCCTTTCGTTCAAGATGGTAGTAGTTGAAATTATTGTGCTAGCTGTGACTGGTTTGTCCTTCCCTATCTTACCTTTAACCCTATCCCTGCCATAGCTTTTACTCTCTCATTCTTCTAGTGCCGTACCAGAAATGTACAACGTTTGGTATACTTTCTCTAAAAATACATTATTTTGAATTTGGGTCCTGCGGTTTTATGCTTACATGGGATCATGCAATCCTAATTGAGATTCACCTGTGAGAGATTAATCCTGGACATGCTCGCTTACAGGGACTACGTACTACTCATGATGATTTCATTCCCTCCTCCATCTTGCTGTTGGCACCGCGGATAAAAATTCCTCGTTGGAACACTGTATGGAAAGCGGATTTCATAACCATAGTGAAAGGAACGGAATACGTGCGGTTTTTCGAGCACACTGTTTTCTTTGTTTTGCTTTTTGCTATTGCACCTTCTTCTTCTGTTCTGTTCCAGTCACTACAATTTCCGAATACTGACTGAGTGATACACTGAATAATGGAGGTAGTTTGAAAGCACTGTCAATCTCGTATCTTGGAATTAACTTCTTGCTGTTCATTTTTTTTTAATTATACACTGGAAGATAGAAGGAATGATACCAAGGAGTACTGGAGATCTGAATCTTTGTTTTGTTTTGTTTTTTGTTTTTTGTTTTTTTTAATTTTTAATTTTTAATTTTTTATCTGTCTATCTATCTATCTATCTATCTATTGATATTATAATGAACTTGAGAGAGGGCTTGGTTGGATTGACCATTCCCATGAGGCGTGCCAAATTTTTTTTAAAATCTAATTCCTGCGCTGTCGACTCAAAATCCAAACTTCGATTTTTCAAATATTTGAGGTCTAAAGCTATTCGAGCGTAATCCTCAGTGTCGAAGAGAGGAAAATGTGTGTATGGTGTGACTTAAACCGTTACCGTTTGTAGGACATCATAAATGTTGCAGTTTGGTTTTCGCGATCGTGTATGGACATGCAGCTAGTTTCAGGTCTAGGTAAGGCCTTCGTATCCATTTGAATGTGTGTCTGTTCTCGTCCTATTGCGGTTTCTTTTTTTTGTAATGCGTTGACCCCTCATTCCCGGTACTTGGCAGGCGTGCAGAGGAAGAAGAGGGTGACAGCTTGTGTATGCCGAAGTTGGGGTAGTCGAAGCTGCCGAAAGCCGTGTTCTGGATAAAAAATGTTACGCTACTTATTCAGAGCTTTGTACGGATAAGTTTCGTGCTCTGAAGGCTCCTGTTTGTTTTCATTGAGGCTGGTGCTCTATGTTGCCCACAGATTCAATTTTTCTTGCAAGAGCCATTGGTTAGAGTAGATGCTGAACCAGGTGGTCATTTTACTTCAATGGCGCAGGAAAGGTGCTTGTTGACACGCCATTGAAGGCGAGTGTGATGCGAGATAGAGCTTTGTCACTGTGTTAGGGAATGATTCGACAGCATTACATATATCTTCCGTGAAGAGATCTTGGTCGATCCGGCTCATGAAATTAAAAGAGTTTCGTTTTTAGCTGAGGGGACACCGATGCATTTGTCCAGCCCTGGAGGATCACTTCAGAAGTGGAGAATGGGAGATATAGGGGAAATTTTAGACGAGCTCCTTGTGTGCTGTGTGTGAGCTTTCTACCTCCAGTATCATGATCCAAGTAGAGGGACCAATGAGAGGAGCGCAATTTTCTTGGTTGGCTTGAGAATAAACTCTTCTTCTCGAATTTCGAAGACTGGCAAACTTGGAAACCTTGGAGATAGATCAGGAAGGAGAGATGCTCTCCGTTTTCCCAGACGAGGTGCTAGAGCACGTGTTAGTATTTCTGACTGACCACAGGGATAGAAACTCTGTGTCCCTGGTGTGCAAAGCGTGGTGCAGGACAGAAGGATGGAGCAGGCGGAGTGTTTTCATTGGGAACTGTTATGCAGCCTCCCCAAACCTCCTGTTGAGGAGGTTCCCCAAGTTAACGTCTTTAGAGATGAAAGGGCGGCCTAGGTTCACTGACTTTGGGCTGGTGCCTTCGAATTGGGGGGCATTCATCCAGCCATGGATCGAAGCCTTGGCCGAGCATTACGCTGGATTGGAATGTCTCCGTTTGAAGCGCATGACTGTGTCTGACGAAAGTTTACGGATTATAGCTCTTGCCTTCCCCAATTTTCGTTCTCTGCGCCTTGCCAGCTGTGATGGATTTACTACCGATGGTCTTCAGTGGATAACGAGACACTGCAGGTGATGATTTACTCTTTTCAATGTGAGTCCATCTCATGTGATGCAATCGAGACATATAAACCGGTTGTGAAATCAGATGGTGAGCAAGCCTGAATTCGGTGCAGCAGCCCAGGTTGAGCACAGATTGCACGTGTCAGGACGTGGAGGCTTTAGTGCTACTGTTTTTGTTTTTCTGTTTCTCTGTTTCTAATATAAAATAGTTTAGATTTATGATTTTTTCTTTGACTAGGTTAAGTGTGAATGGTTGGTTACAGCCTGTGAGCATAGATGCATTTTTTCTGTGCACAGGCATCTCAAGGAGCTGGATTTGCAAGAAAATGAAATCCAAGTACGCAGTGTAGGCTGGCTGACGGCCTTTCCTGAGTCCCAAACAACTCTGGAAAGTCTCAGTTTTGCGAACATCCAAACCCCGTTGGATGAATACGATTTTCACTCTTTGTATGCCTTGGTAGCTCGTTGTCCAAGACTGAAAAGGTTGAAGTTGAACAGAGAGGTCACTCTGGAGCAGATGCAGAAGCTTCTTCTGCTAGCTCCTCAGCTTGAAGATTTGGGCACAGGGGCATATAACCAGAAGCTGACGTGGGGTAAACTTCATGACCTTCAGGCTTCATTTAGGAAGGTTAAGAATATCCGGTCGCTTTCTGGGTTTTGGGATGTAAGTCCAAGGTGCTTACCGACATGTTTCCCAATTTGTAACGAGCTGATCACCCTAGATCTCTCAACTGTTGCACTCACCACAGCTGATTTTACAAAGTCTACTACAAATTGCGTCAAGCTCCGGCGCCTACTGGTGAGTTTCTTCTCTTAATTGTAGGGTCATTTAACCAGAAAGTTTTGAATACTTAACCTGTGGTTTTTTGTTGATGTTAGCTCCAAAGACTGAATTTCTTACAATTTTGGAGTGGGACGTTTATGAAGAGAAATAATCTCGTTATTCTGCTATAATAATCCAGCTTCAATTCAAGCAGACTCACCCATGCCGTATTCTCACATGTTGTGGGATAGGAAAACCTCACCTTAATTACGTCATGACTTCCACTTCCTAAAACTGTGGTCTTGGCCATGCCCGGTTCTGTAATTTTCCTCACATTCCGTCTGCTTTACAATCATTTCTTTTTGACTCAGGTACAAGATTCTGTGGGAGATGAGGGTTTACTTCACGTAGCACGTTGCTGTAAGCAGCTGACGGAGCTTCGTGTCTATCCTTTTAACAATCAAAGTAACGTTACAGAGAAGGGTTTTATTGCAATCTCCGAGGGATGCCGAGACATGCGTAAGATCCTTTACTTTTGCAAGCAGATGTCAAATGCTGCAATGATTCAGTTCGCCAGGAACTGCCCGAATATGACCCATTTCCGGATGGCCATGGTGACGGTCTACGACCGAGACTGTGTCACCAACGACCCTCTGGACGAAGGGTTCGGCGCGGTGTGCAAGCTGTGCAAAAACCTTCGCCGCCTATCTCTCTCGGGGCTCTTAACCGACAAGACCTTTGAGTATATCGGCATGTATGCGAAGAAGTTGGAGACTTTGTCAGTAGCCTTTGCAGGCGATACTGATTTGGGAATGGTCAACGTTCTGGACGGTTGCCCAGCTCTGCGCAAGTTGGAGGTTCGAGACTGTCCCTTTGGGGACGAGGCTCTATTGTCTGGCATCGAGAAGTACGAGTCCATGCGCGCTTTGTGGATGTCTTCATGCCAACTTACCAGGGATGGTGTCCAGTTCCTGGCTGACAAGAACCCTAACCTGAACGTGGAAATCATCGTGGATGTTGAGAAGTCACATGACCCAGAGTACGTTGAGAAGTTGTATGTTTACCGTTCTATTGCAGGCCCTCGGGAGGATGCCCCGTATTTCGTAGATACATTGTGATCGCACATACCTTGGCTGTACTTTCTTTCTTTCTTTTTCCATATCTTTCCGGTTTTAAGTCTGTAGTGCTCTCAGTTATTTTCATTTACTTCTTACATTCTTCTTTCTACACTAGAGAGAAGCCATAGTTTGAACTAGAGACACAGCGAGGTACGAGCGAGGCGAGGCGAGAAGATCCCTGAGGTATTGTGATTCGCTTGGTTGGGTATGGACGGCCTTCTGCAGTTAGCTTGGGATCCTGTCTCTCATAGAGGAAGTTTGGATATTGTACATAATATGGGTTGCGAGTCCCAAATAGGTAGCTTAGTACATCACTATTCTATAGAAGATTCTGTTGATCTGAATGGTTTTGGGGCCCATCCCATGTCTCAATGTTTTCTGAGTTTGACCTACTCCAGCGATCAAATCCGGTCTTACACAAGATGGCGATCGGTTCTGATTGGGCGCTTTTACGAACCTCCACGGTTGCCGTTGCGGTCTCTGTTTAGTAAAATGGGAAACAATACCTTATTCACACACTAAGTCTAGTCCCGTTATCAGTATTTCCAAATGTTTGTATGGATGTGGTCTTTTTTGGGGATTGCAGTTCTGGTTGTTCCATGACCTTGAAGATGAGCAATTTCAAGTCTTTAATTCCAATTCCAGACTGAATTAATTTGTTATTGTAAATATTTCAACAATTATGTCTATTGTCAAGCAATGTCTTTTGCACATCACTCTATTCTTATTTTTTTATTTATAAAGGAAGCGCTGTCCTTAATTGTGCTTTGTACACGCGTGGAGATAATGATTCTTTGTAAATACAATGTAAAATCATTTCATTCACAAAAACAGTAATTGCTAGGTTATGTTTTATCTGGGTATCCTTCATTGTATATTATCTTCTCGCATGTCTATTTTGCCTCTCTAATCAAATAATATATTGCAGAATATCTTTTGTAATTTGGTAGTATGATTTCTACAACAAGTACCAAAGTTGTTGTAGATGATAATCATTTGTCCAATGTACATTTTTGAATCTCTTCAAGTCAATTGTTTACTCCTAAAATATTACTTAAAATCAAACTATCTCAAAGTGATATTATGTTATGTTGTATTATGTTTTTACTATTCCTTATTGTATAGAACAAGTCTTTGAGATTTATTGGATCATCTTGTTTGTTAGCAACTAATGTTTATACAATATTATAGATAAAAAATTACATAATTTCTTTGTAAAAGAAGGGATCTATTTTATTTTGAATGTTTTGCTTGTTAGCAACTAATATTTGTACAATATTATAGATAAAAAAAGTTACATAATTTCTTTGAAAAAGAGGGGATCTATTTTTTATTTTGAATGTTTTGCATCTTTACTCTATAATACCATAGAAGTAAGTAGAACTTAGAAATGATGTGTAAAACTTGTAGTACATTAATAAAGATAGATATGAGAATGCAAAGTTTGTATCTACAAGATCTAGAATTCTAAAAAACTTTATTTAGAGATATTTTTTATGAATTAAGGATCACCAAAGGCAACAATATTAAATGCCAATAAAATGATGTAACTCTTTTAGAAGTGCAAAATCTTTTTGGTAATTTCTTGAGAAAATTGTAAAAATCTTAGCTACTAATTAATGACAATAAATATCTGCTTATGTGATTTGGAGTAATTTTAAGAAAGAAATAATTTTTGAGACAAAATAAAATTTTATTTTTATTTTAGTGTTTTTAGAAAGACAACATTTTTTTAAAAAATATAAATTTGTGCTTTATAGAGTCATTTTATTTTATTTTATTTGAGCGATTCTATATATTGTCATACAAGTGATTGAAAAGTGACAAGGCAATATAGTCATTGATATGACCTTGTAACCAATGAATTTTCTATGCTTGTAAATTGATAGGGTAGCCAATCTTGTCTAAAATCTTTTGATTCTAAATTAACAACAATTGAATTGATAAAGGTGTGGATTACAATTATTAAAATTTATTTAAAATTTTGAAGTTTGATTAGTTTTAAGTTTAAAGTATAAAATTGAGATATTAGAAAATATTATTCTATAATATTTTTTTGTAAATTTGATTCAAACTACAATAGTAGGATAAAAATTTGGTTATTTGCACAATTACATTGCACATCCAACAAAAACATAAAGACCTTTTTATTTTCAAATAAATTTTTTCATAATCCGTATATGAATAAGAAACTTTAAATACTTCTTTACTTGAATTAAAAAGCCATAGAAGATATCAAAAAAATCATCTATTTCACCATTGGAAATTTGTTTGAAATATTTCTATTTTATCTTACACCTAAAGAGTCACACTTTTTTCCTTCCTCTATTTTTTGAGTTTTTCTTTCTCATTTTCTTTCTCTTCTCCAACACATCTAAACTAAGCAACAACACCCAGGAGTCAAAAATTAGATTAGTGAAGGATCTCCAGATGGACCACAACGAGGATCACAGTCTCCATGAAAACCTGGGAACAGAATATATGCGCATATATATATATATATATATATATATGTATATATATAAAATGGGTCCCTACCCAAAAGAGGAAAATAAAAGGACACCAACAAGATTGAGCAATCCATCAGCAACACGAGAACATTTTCAGACCACATCAATTGATTCCTGGGTCCATTTTCTTCTACCGACACCTCACTTTCCTGAGCTTCCACGAAACTCCTGCTGAGCATATTACAAGACACCATTTTTATCTAAAATAAAGTATTTCATTTTCCTCAATCTTGTCTCCATAGCCAACCCCGACCCTGTCTCAATGCTGAAGGATCGTCGTCAGCTGGAACCCAGTTGTTGATTTTAAGCTTTACGTGAAGAACGTGGCGTCATGCAGTGTAAAGATACCAGTTTTAGGGTTTCGGAGAAAGGTTGGTGATCGGAAAGTGAGGAGTAGATTTTGAGGTTTTTTGTTTGAAGCTTGTTGCTGGTAGCCTTGCTGCCTGGATTGACTCATTGTGCTTAGCTTTAGGGTTTAAGTGCTGGCGACCGCTGGATTAATAAATATATTCGTGGTGAAGTTTGCGAGGTTTGGCTTTGCATCCCTCGGCTTTCTGTTCTAGCTTTCAGGATCTGTAGTCTGGAATTTCGCTCACAGGATCTGTAGTCCATTAGATATTCGGGGTGCCCTAATTGCAGGATGGAGATGCTTGAGGTGGGTTTCCATGCAGATGTGTCCGAATATGGGGCTTACGGGCTGCTGCTGAATGCTGTGTAGAAGTGAAGTCGATGGGGGAGGAAGGAATTCGGCAGGGCTGGCGTCGTAACGTCTGTTGTGGCTTAGAAAGTCGCCAAATGTCGAGATCACCCTGCTTTCTCCTAAAGCATTTCTTTCAGAGGTATGCTTTTTTTACGTCCTTCTAAATTTACTTCTGAGTTCGAGTATCTATCACATTTTTCCTTATTCCAATCCTTTGTTCCGATTATTGTACTTGGAATGTAGATATTGTCTACTTTGATTAGGTCATTGACTTAAAAAATCTAGGGAGAGATAGGATGTCCGTAACGTGGTGGGATCGCTCAAGACGTTGGACTACGGGACCAAGAAGGGCCGTGCAGAGAATGGGTCTGTAACCGAAAGGAATGGAGGAGTATTTCTCATTGCACTTGGAGGAGAAGAGAAACAACCAATTGGTGAATCTGTTTTTGGGGAATGGTGGAATGATGTGGCAACGCCAGGTGCCAATCATCGGATTTCCCTAGGAACTATTTGGTACAAGTCCAATTTCTAGTTTCAGTTTTTGGTATCCGAACAATGACTGATTGGAGCCGCTTAATGATGTTTAACCGTTCGGAGGTTAGTACCCAAGTAATTAGAAATTTGTCGCAGCAACGGGTTTGATCAGTTGTAAGTCGTTTTGATCAGGAAGGGATGGTGATGTTGGAAAATGGGAGAGAGAATATACAAGAATCTTCTTCGCTGCAGGTGCGCCTCTCAGGTAAAGTGAGCAGCCAGTATTTGGTTGCGCTTTTAATGACATCGCTACTTTCCCTGGCAGATGCTGAAATTGTTGGAATTGACAAGCCTGTCTCTGTGCATGACTTTGCAGCTGGTGTATTAAGTTGGAGTGAAGGTTGACAGGCATGATGGCTGGAAACGTTTCTCAACCAAGTGTGGCCGAATTCACAAGGATGTTCTGCTATCCTCGTAATGCACGACAATGCAGCTGCTGTCGTTTCTAGAATTAATACTGAATGCTGCTGATATACTTGCAAGTAGTTGGTTTACGCAGTATAGTCAAAGTTGATGTTGGATTTCATTTTTGGCGACTTCAGGTCACCAGGAAACGCGTACGTTCAGTACTAGCTATTTCTTAGCTGGTGCTGATGGTATGGGAGACACTGTCACTGATGAAGGCTGTGGAACCAATAGTTTTCAGGTTTGTCTTTTTGCTACTTGCCAATGGAAGGATCAGAGTCAATCGGTTGCGCCACTATTATCGAATCATGCGTCTTGATTTAACGTAAAAATGAAGTTCTGTTCGCTCTCCTGTAGTTTTCATCTTATTTTCTCCAAGCAATGTGCTTCCTTTGGAGGCTATGTAATCCTCTGCTATATAGCCTGGCTCTCTGAAATTCATGGAGTGGTGGAAAAATTCCCAGGATTAATCAGGAATTTTTGGTGGAAAAAAAGAGGAAGAAATAAAGTCGAGGACGCCTGTGGATCCCACAATAGCCAGAAGGTTGGAAGAACGTGAATTGTTTGGTTGAAAGGTAAAGATTGCAGGAACGAGAATGAAGTTGAAAATGAGGTTTTCAATTCGTCTTTTTGGTATTTGAGACCTGAACTTGCAAATCGGTTTTCTCTTTTGGAGAATTGGATAATGGTCATCAATGATGGCGAGCACTGGCTTACCAAGGTAATGAAATGGGACTCTAGATTTGAAAGTTTTGTTGAAACGATGTGCAATTGTTGCAGAGGCTTTAAAATAATACATTTCAGTAGGTTTGGTATCGTTAACCTGCAATTGAACCCAGAAGTTGCTTTTCTGGTAAGACTTTGATATGCCCCTGACTACACTGATTACGATGCTGAGAGAGTTGGTACTGTAGGCGTTTCGGAGCCTAAATCACAAGTGCTTCAATCATTTGTTTAATTTAATTTTGAGTGTTCATTAATTTCGATTTCTTTCTCTGATTGTTATTCCTCTAAACAATAATATGTTTAACGTGAAATGAAATAACTAGCGGGATTGTAGAATCGTAATCCCTTTTTAACTGCACAATTTGGCTATCATGAAAATAGAGATGAAAGATTTTACGAACATGTACATCACTTGTACCATATTATTGTACACAATTAATTCTGTAATTATAAGAAATTATTTTTTTTATAACAACAATCCTTATTATGTTGTGAAGCTTTGTAAGCAAATATTAAGAATATGCCATCAACTCTTTATTAAGAATACCAAGTCACTCATGATTTTACATAAGAAGATTGTTCCATCTTTAGTGTTAATTTTGTTATTATTCTAACTTTATCATATACATATAGAAATACTAATATCACCTTGTAATACTTTTTATAGCATTGTCAATTTTTTTTTTTTTGCAGTATTCACTTTAAATGTTTTATTTTGCAGCAACAAAGTAAATTCATTGCTACTACTAATTAGAATTTTACTTTTTTTTTTTCACCATTATTCTATTTGTTTGTATGTATGTATGTATATATATATTATATATATATATATTCTTCTATGGTCACTAATGTTAATAAAAAAATTCACAAAATGTTTCTAAATTTTTACATTCAATATTTTTAAAACAAATTTCTTATACTAAAAAAAATAAAAAAATAAAACATTTAGATCTTGAATTTTGTGTTTTGACATCATAATTTTTTATTAAAATTATTGAATGACAATCTACAAATTTGAAACAATAACCTATTCTTTTCTTTTTATTCAATTAATTGGATATTTTAGTTGTTAATTTTGATAGTATATATATATATATATATATATTAGAAATTTCCAAAGAATTTATTTTAATATATTTTGGGAACCAAGACACTTCGAATATTTTAAAGTATATTCTCTTTCTTTTAAATTTAGTGTAATTAGCCACAACTATTATAATTTTTAACTATACAATGGTACTTTATTTTTTTTATACATTGTAAGGGAGTTTTTAAATTGGATTGTTGCTCAATATTCCAACTAATTTAAAAAAACCACCTTTTTAGTTATATTATTTGTATGCATACTATGTATGTTTACTTATTATTATTTTTTATTATTAATTATATATATTTATATGTATTTCTTATAAAATAAAAAGTGGATGGAAGATCCTTGGTGGGTTTTTTCTAAAAACTATATTGATGTTTTAAATAGAATTTTTATAATTCTATGTTCTTTATGAGATTAGATCTTTTTCTTATTAAAAAAATTTACCAAAAGAAGTTGAAGGAGCACTTTTTGAGAAGGCAAGATACAACTTGTGTTCCTCTCACTAGGAATGTTCTTAATTGTTATACCATGATTATAAATCCTACCTCCCAATCCTAAATCCTAACCTATCAAATATAATCTTTGGCCTTAAACTTGAACCCACAAATTATAATTAATTTGTCTTTAAACATTAAGTACCAATAGACTGTCCAAGGCTATGGTGGACATATGTCATGAAAGAGGGGTATTTATTAAAACATCCCTAACAAGAGAAGAGCATGGGATATAGTAAAAAAGGCACTTTTCTAACCTTTATCATCCAAAAATAAGAAATTCACATAAGATAGCTAAGCTAATGTCAACCACCTCCCATTTCCAACTTATAGGGTGGGATATTTGTGCTAGACTAGTGAACTATTGTCAACTAGTTTTGACATTTTTTAGCCAAAAATACATTGGTTCCTAGCAAAAATAGCATTAAATTATGAATAATATAAACAATTCTTTGTACTTAGAATCAATAAGCGTGAATTATTAAAAATCAATTTATGCATTAGAGGAGTTGTATATATACAGTCATTGATTGTGCATCGACCAATTAGAGAGTTGTTAGAGCACGATTAGAAGATGGAGGATGTGTAAGATATTATTTAGAGATAAGCAGAAACAAGGAAGAATGGTGGCTAAAATTCAACTTGAACATGGTGGATTACTTCCAAACTAATGTTTGAATTTTTGTTGCTTTATCCACATGTTTACATCCATAAGTAGCACAAA